GGGGGGTGGTCATGCTGCAGGGCGTGGGCCTTCCCAGATGATGTGAGATGTGGCAGGTAAATGCCTAGGGCTGCAGCACCAGCAGCTACTCTGGCATGGAAAGCGGCATAGCTTGCAGAACAACCATGGGGACACAGGTTTCTAGGAAACCACACTGCACAAAGCACCCTGTAACTACTCAAGACACATTTAGGTTCCGGGATTGGCCACTTCTAATTTCACATGGGTTGCAAATGGTACTAGAAAGTTGTTTTGGGGGCTTCTCAAATGTTCAGTCTATATGACATCTTAAGACAATAAATATCCTAATACACTGAAGTGGAGAACAAGACATCAGCCTGAGTGAGCCAGGTGGAAAGCTATATATAGAAAAGGAGCTCTCACACCAGCCTTCCAAGGTCTCTGGGCATCAGCCCACCCTCAGATTTCAATGCTATGGGACACAGACCTCTTCTACAGACCCACAGCACTAGACATTTCTGTACCCCCCCAAGCTAGCTTGGCTCAGCACCACAAGGCTCGCTCTCTTTGAAAAACAGGCAGCAGATCCACTTCCCCCACAACAATTGCTCAGTAGCAGCAGTGCTGCAAGGCCTGTGCGACTACTCTCCCCAACCGACAGTTCACTTCTCTGCTCTTTATTACTCCCTGTTGGGCAGCCAGGACCCAGAATCACCCAGTCATCAGGGAATGGCAAGCTCTAATGCTGACCAGGATAGAAAAGTGATAGAACAGCCAAAAGTGGCTATATGACAAGAGAGGTGAGGACTGGGGGCTGGGACACACACCAAGCAAGTGGCTGTCTGTTCTGAGGCCCCTGGCTGGAGAGGTCACTGGCATCACACCAGAAAGCTACAGCACCTGAGGGGTCTGGCATGAGGTCAGAAGACTGAGCAGTAGAATATCCCCAAATGAACCTCTGCAGGGAGAAAAAAACTGAAAAGACAACAGAATGGGCAGGTGTGTGGGAACAAAAGTCCCATTACCAAACAGCCTCTTCTGGAGGCTTGTGGCTCAAATCAAATTAGAAGAAACATGTTGGTATATAGATGTCATAATATAAAGTCACCATTACCCTGGGGCGCAGGGTCATCCAGTGATTACAGGTGTGAGTTCTGGAGTCTATCATCAAGGTTAGGAACCTGTCTCCACCACTTACAAGCTGTATCTTGGGCAAGTTTCTTAACCTCTCTGGGCCTCAGTTTCCAAGTCTGTCCTGTTAAGACAATAGTCCTACCCCACCAAGGAGAGTCATACATACCAAATACCGAGAAGGGCCTCAAATAAATGAGTGCCAAGTGCTTGTATTCCTCCTTACTTTCTACTTTGTAGAAGTGCTGAGATGCTGCTACAGGGCTTGGGGGGCATGCCCTCCCTCCTTCCTTAACTTTAAACAAGCTTCAAAAACACCCAAAGGCCCCCCTCCTCCACCCCACCCCTAGGCAAGGCCTTTGCTCCTACCCCACACATGCTCTGACCTTGATTCCCTCCTTGGTACTGAGAAAAAAAAGGCAATCAGAAGAGAACCCAGCCCGGCTGCATCCCAACCTGACCATGGGCCCCTTCCTCCTCCCCCTACACGGGAGCCAGCCTTGCTCCTAAAGCCACCCCTCATCTGTCCTCTTGATCCCCTCCCTGCCCACATACTCAAGCACAGCACATCACTCCATCTCCGTTCCTCTACACCATCATCTCTGAACTGCACCACTCTCACCAGCATAGAAACAGACCGTTATTTCTTCTATCTAGGGGCAGAGTCAATGCCACCCCTTTCCTAACTCCACATCTGCCAGGAGCTCCCACTTTCTCCCTCTGTTCCCTTTCCAGGAAACTACCTGAAAGAGCTATCTCTGTCTTGTCTCCAATTATTCTTCAGAGGCATCCAGGGCCCATGTGCTCTGTGGTGCAAACACCGACAGTCACCTAGCTCAGCAGCAGCAGCCCTGCCCCACTGTCCTGTCCCTTCTTCCTGAAGCCTGTCTTCCCTTGGCTCTCAGGGTAGCAGCCCCTCCTGGATCTCCTCTTGCCTCTAGCCATTCTACAGTCCCTCTGTGGGGAAATCTTGACCCAACCAATAGCATTTTAGTTTTTGGATTTATACTTCTACTTAAGGGCTTTATTTTTTAAATTCTGTTAGTTAAAAGTTCTGTTAGTGTAAAATGACAATCCTTTAATACATTGTATATGATCACCAAACTAAGTTGGAGCAGTAATGAGTTTAATACACATATGTAACTAATGTACAGTTATGAAGTTCACAAAATACAGCAATCACTCCATCATCCAGAAACTACAAAATGTCAGTCTCAATTTCCTGAGGTGACTACAGTCAACATAACTCTGAAAAGCTTTCAGATCCCATTGGAAAACCCCCTCTACACTAACCCAATTGCCTGGGTCATCCAGCTGTGTGTAAGGTACACACAGCTGATGGCTGTGCCTAGGCCAGAAGCACTGCACTGAACAGTTCTGCCCAAGTTATGTTGCTGAAATGGTGCCATCCAGAAGGCTGTGTCCAGGGGTGGCACACCTGTTCTCACAACCTCAAATGTAGTGCAAAAAACCACCACCAACAAAATGCAAACGAAACAAAAAAACAAAATGCTGGCATGGCACTACAACAAAAGCCACGACTACTTTTTGGTAAAAGAAGCGCTTTCCATAGGCATGCCTACTATTCCCCCAGTGAAAGTGGTGTTAGCTTCATTCAGTATAGGAGGAAACAGACCCCAGAAGGGCAAGTCCCCTGCTCAAGTTCTCAGAGCTTGTTATTTTTTGAGGGGAGGCCCGCCCTGCCCAGGAAGGTTTGATACAAAGCGCACACCTCACTGCCTCCTACTAGCATAAGCTCCAGACAAGCAGCGCCCACACGGAGTGCCTCTCTTTTGTGGGATGGGAACACACTAGTGTTTCTGCCTCCAAATTTCTTTCCTCTCCTTTTTTCAGACACTGGTCTCTGAGTGGAGGCTGTCAATGAATGCTAGTTGTCAATCTTCATGGCTGGCAGAGAACATGACTGAAAACATTAGTATTATTAACCTTACAGCAAAATTCTCACCATGAAGAAATGAAAAGATATCTAAGGAGGGATATTCTGGGGGAGAAAGGGCAAAAGAGAACCAACTAAAAACATAATTCTTCCACCCTGGCCAGGCTCAGTTGGCTGGAGCATTAACTCAGACACCAAAAGGTTGCGGGTTCAATTCCCAGTCAGGGCACACGCCTAGGTTGCAGGTTCAATCCCTGGTTGGGGTATGCATAGGAGGCAGTCAAAAAATAGATATCACTAAAAACATACCCTGGGTAAGGATAGAAAACAAAACAAAACAAAACAAAACCACCATAATTCTTCTTAATCCATGAAGTTTAATGCATAATCAATAACTTTTCGTTCCTGAAGTTGTACTATTTTCCCAAAGG